ATGGCTTTTCAACGCTCGGTTTATGCCCCGGTGTAATTTACACCGGCCGACAACGCTGTCAAAAGAGCGCTAATGTATTTGTCAGTGTCAGAAGATATTGCGTCTTTTCTTCTTTCGGACGCTTATTTTTTGAATGGATCGTAAATAACTGAGATATTAAATGTCGATATCGATAGGCATGAATGCCATAAATTTCTCACGGGCCTGGCAGGTAGAGAGAAATATTGAAGCGGTTTGGATATTAATACTGGACAAGTTATTGTCCCTGGATGCCCCCCATTCTATCAACCAAATGCGATCGACCAAGAAACACATGTCATACACACCAAGGAGCAATTCCCATCTTAAAAATAATTTTATTCCATTTTTATGACGCTATACTCTAGTCACAACGCAGCGAACAACGCGAGCGGCCAATCAGAGTCAAGCATTGCACCACAGCGTCGTAACAGTATCATGGCTACAAGCATAAGCACTGTGTAATAGAAATCGCACTTTTCTCTTGGAGTGTTTTTGAATTTTCTCTAAATCAGCACCTGCTCTAGGTGCTTACTATCTCCAAGCCTCTCCTTATTATTTACTGCATATCTCAGCCCTAAAATTCAACATTGGCGAGTTTTATCGGCGCACCTCTTCGTCTGAATTTTGCGATACGCTCGTGCCTCAGGCATTAAAATTTCAGTCGTATCGCGTCGTCACACATAGAACGTAACTGAATATTGAGTACAGTCATAAAATATTTACGTGAATTTTGAGCTTTCACGCAAAGCTCACGACTGGAAAAAATCCCTCAATTAGAGTCTCGGGTGAGCAAATATTACATGTTCTGCGACTCTATCACAAGACATTTAGAACTAGAAATGAATTTATTAAAATTGCAATAACCGCAGTTTCAATAAATTTTAATTATCAGTCTAAACCGCAAATAAATAATTTGGTATTTACCCACAGCGTAGTTTCATTTGCAAATTAATTAATTTGAGGGAAATGTTTGTTCTCTTAGAAATCAGCAAATTTATCTGCAATTTTCGTCAAGGTTCACGGTGAATAAACCCACAATAAGACACTTTCGGTGCCTTTTGCCGACTAATCCCTTCCGAAAACAACATCATTAAACTTATTGACCCTTAGGACTCTTTCTCTGTAAATCAGTCAGTGGTGGAAGAGTCGATATTTCCTCTGCAGGTTTCCGATAGATCGCTATCTAAACAAATTGACGCGGTCGGAACGGTGACTTACATAATGCATGCCGGATCAGGACGGTAAGTAGGGATCTGTCTTGCCGATGGGGTGATGTATAGCTTTTACTTATTATTTGGGTGCCCGACACAATCTCGTTGACCCTTGACACTTTTCACGAGAATGAAACGGACAAGAGACTGATTTTATTCCTGCAAATGGCTTTGTTTCAGGATTTGTCACGTCCACTCTGCGTATACGAGCAAGAGATGAGGGTCTTTTTCAGCAAAATATGCATTTAAAGAATTCAAATTTTTGCTAATATCAATGATTTGATCGGTCGTCTCCTCTCCAGCAAATTGATTCGGATAAACTTTTACAGGCGTCACACAATTTCAACTTTCAATGAGGTTTAAAATCGATTCTTTCGATTATCTCCTCTTGGTCATAAGCGACAAACTTTTGTGGATGAGTCTCCAGTTATTAAAAAGGTTGTAACGAGGGTCTAGGGACAAAATTGACACTTGACATGTTAGTAACAGTTTATATTGAGGTTCGTGATTGTCCACCGTGACATTAATTCAACGAAGAGCTAAACCTACCTGTTATACGTCGCGTTATCACTTGATAAATTTTCAGATGTGACCTCTGCGACTTTATAATTTCGTCTGCAATAAAATTGGGGATGACACTGCAACGATTTTTCTAAATTAAAACGCCGGTTGTAATCCTTTACATTGTTACATTTTATGGAGCTTATCTCATTTTCCTGTTTCTTTTTAATCTCGTTCTGTGACGTAACGTGGAGGAATCGGAGAGAAAATATTAAGTTATTTTTTGTAATCGAATAAACCTGAAAAGTATAAAACTTGACGTGGAAGTTTCTCATTTTCATTAAAACTGAATCGGTTTTAATTACCATTTGCAATATTTCAGGAATCGCAAAGAAAAGCCACTATTGAGTTATCTCATACTTTTATTGTTCGGCGAGAATCCCAGCGGTGTCATTCCAAAGCCAGAACAATTTATATCATTTTAAATGATACGAAAGCCATGGGCCGCACGAACACTCCCAAAAAAGTAATAAAACCTTTATAGAATCGCCGATTTCGCACAACGCCGGGTAAATACATCATAGATGGACGTCCTAATTCATCATCATAAACACACCCCAACAGGAAACTTAATTATTAATTTTTCCTAACACACTTCCCATGTAAGAAAACGTCGCAAAGGTCACGTTGTAAAAAACCCTAATCGTAATTTACGACCATCCGAGACAAAATTACGCGAAACAGGTGCATAACACTCACTATTTTTCGCAAATTTGCGCGTCTGAAAATAGCGTTTCAGCACCGCTAACCGAATAAACTCCTTACAATTCATTAAAACTCGAGACGACCTGTTTCCACCTAATTGAATAAACACTCAGTAAGTTGCAGCTGTACGGTTTGCATTAGGCTTAATTCGACAAACATCTGCAATCGTTTCTCGCTTTCTACGCTCCGGAATATTAATAAACTACAAATAACTCATTACTCCGGAGAACCGGACTCTCAACGTCACTATGGCAACAGGAAGGATTTCTGGACCGGAAACACTGCAGGTGTAAAGTCAGCGAGGTGTCTTTTTCTCTTCAATGCGTTCGAAGGACATTTCCGGCGTTTAGATTCAATGGACAGAAATTTGCAAAACTCAACTTGCATATTAAAATAACTTTAAAAATTACAAATTAAATTAAATTTTTTCGGTGTAGGTAAACTCTTTTATACTCTGCAATTAATTAAAGGTTGGATTTATGTTCAGCGCAAAATTGGGAATTTTATTTTGCGTATCCTGCAAATCCGTACCTTTGCCATAGTGGCGAAGGCGTCTATCGATCACTTCCGGCTCGAGATGGGAGTGTTTAATTTATCCCTGCGATGGTGCATTAATCGAGATGCGCTCTTGGTGTTTTTTCGTGGTCGTTGGGGATTTTACGAGTTGTTTTAGTTCGAACGTCGCATAAACATACAAGCTTTTTTAATAAAATAGATGGAAGCCGGCGCTCGTTATCCCCACAAGTAGAATCGAAATTATGCTTTTATGTAAAAAACATGACTGAATAATTGCATACATAAACTAGCGACAAACTACAAATGAGACCATTCGCCAGACAAATGATTTTCTATCCGCTACATCGACTACATATTTTGTCAATAAATTCGCTCGTGATAAATTCGACTCGAGCTTGGAAAAAATTTTTGCCCAATTTGCACAGTCGTGATCAAATTTATCGTGTGGTAAGACGAGACATTCTTGACTTACACACTTTAAGCTATAAATTTGGCGAAATTCTAGAAATTCCACCAACTTATACTCGCCGCTATAAAATATTATGTGCCATATATATTACATTGTTAATCTTCATAAATAGCTAGGCTTGAGACAAATTTTTCGAGATCTTGTGAGATTTTCCAGAGGCTTTTAACAAATTAATTCGGGATTTATTTCCACTTTTTGACAAACTTTGCACGAATTTAGCAAAGGATTTTTCGCTGTTCGATATTATTCTTATATCGAATAAACTCAAATCCGGCGTAAAATCGCGTCCCCGGAATGAAATTAAAATTCTCCGGGACGAAAACATCTCAAGAAAAATACACACAGAGTTTAATTTAGTTTGCAGGCCTCGGCCGAATTGCTTTCAAATTAATTATTAATTTCGTTTTGCGTGCCCATAGAAATGGAAACAAAAAGACGAGTGTAGTCGAGTTGAAATTTCCAATTATGATAATTAGATAAAAAGTGTGCAATTCGCCGACCGAATAAAGTGTTAAGTTGCACAGAATTTAGAGAACTCACGCAGATAATCGTAGTTTTGGCGCTGAAATGGCGGAATTCTCTAGGAGACGAGTCCGGGCATTGTTAGTCGGAATGTTAGGAAGTGCTGTAACTGTCGTACCCAGAGGCTAAGTTATGACAGGGCCGTATCCGGCCCTCTGAATACCTAATGAACGAAGCTTTCTCGCAACTCGACTTTTTCCAATAACAGTATTTTTGCGTCTACGGTCAATTACAGCCCGCCAGATGGTCACAAAGTGCCATTATCGATTTTAATGTCGAATCTATTATCCCACCGCCAGATGGGCCAGTTTCACTCCTAGCTTATAGACAAGTTAATATAAACAAACACCAGGTAATCGATAGGAAACCGGAGCCAAGTTTCACAAACTTTAGCATCTTCATAAAACAAATCGGAAAAATCTCGTGTTACGTTTCATTATCTCATGATTAAATTCCTATTCCTGCACATAAATTTGCCCGGATGATTATAAATTCCCTTGTAAAAGCTTCATTACCCATAATTAACACTCCCACGGTACCCTTATCAAAAATTGAACCGTAAACCGTCCCACACGCCGTAAATTCCTGTCACACGTAAAAACTTTAGTAATTTTCATAAACTGCCGACTTACAAGCGTGAAAATTTTCATACAAATCGCCGGCTTAGCATATGTGAAACAAGCCTAAAGCTCGCCGGAAGTAAAAAATCGCCTCAAAGTTTTACGCATAATTCACTCGCGTTATGTAATTGAAACAGTTAAGCCGTCACTGGCAAGTGTAATTAGTGGGTGAATTAGCTCTTGAGTCGTTTTGAAGTTCCAGACGATCGATTAATTTTTTTCATAATTTTCACTAATTAGGCTAATTGAAAGACGCGTTTTTGCGTTTAGACGTCTCATTTTTTCTAATTTAATTAAACGAGAGACTTGACAAAAACCCTTGCACTTGTTTTAATTAATTTAAATTGTCTATTGCAAATACACAGCCAGACTTACCGCAAAGCCTCATGGTGGCACCGAGCGGGGACCTGAAACAGGAAAAATTCATTCGAGAAATGTCGCCAACTTTCATAAAGAAAATAATTACACGGAAGCCGTTTATTTGATTTTTACTTGTAGGAATTCAATTGCGAACTTTGGGAGAAGAGGAAATGTAGCGAAATTACACAAGTTGACGCACGTGCACCCTCTTTGATATATTGATAAGTTTCACACGTTAACTCGCTAGGGTTGAAGAGTTCAAAGCTTTGTTTCAAAGAGACCGAGTTTTAACTAGTTCTATCATAGACTCAGGCGAAATGAACAAAGAAGCAATAAAACCAAGAAAAAATTTCAAGATCAATTTCAGAGTCAGATAAACGCGTAATCTGACGCTTAGCTGCTTCAAAAGACAGCCGATTCTATTGATTAGACACTCAAATAAGCAGAAGGTGCTGAAAAGCACAAAAGTGTTTAAGCGGCAAGACACCGGATTATGCATTTGCACATCAAAGGTGAGGATTGAAAAATCCTATTCCATTCAAAATTAAAATACCAAGAAATGCCGAGTTTTTAATATCACAGGAAATTGTTGCGAAGTAATAAAGCTTGCAAAAAAGTTGAGAAAAATTCTTAGTTTAAATTGAATAGCTGTGTGGAGAACGGCAACAATCGCAAAAATTAAAGTTTTGGATTAAGCAACAACATATTTTACACAACTCTTGCAATAAGATTCAAACTTCAGTCTTCTGTCCAATTTAATATAAAATCGCACAAAAAAAATTGTTAATAATTGATTTAAAAAAAAATTGTTTTTCATTCAGCAACTCAATTAAAAATTTAAAAAAAAATTGCATCCTGACCAATAGAAAAGATAGACAAACTATAAAACAGTCAACACATTATTATAAAATCACATGCAAAAAATTGTTAACTGATTTTTAATTATTTAAAAGTTAGATGAATTTATTAAAGTTTAAAAACAATTACCATTTTCTATTCAACATCTCAGTTAGAAATTTGAATAAATTTTGCATTCTGACAAATGAAAAAGAAAGACAAAACTGTAAAACAGTTTAAAAAACATTGAAGTATAAACCACTTCGCAGACAAAAAAATCTAAACTGATTTTAAATTATTTAAGAGTTAGAAGAGCTCAAAGTTAAAAAAATTGCTTTTTTCTGTTCAGCTATTTAATTAGAAATTTGAAAAGATGTTGTATCCTGACAAATAAAAAAGAAAGACAAATTGTAAAAAAGTTTGTAAAACATTATTGAAGTGGTTTTAGAACTTTCAGTGACAAGATAATTCCAAATCTGGCGGAATAAATTTGTTCGGTTTGCTGATTTCAGAAATATTGACAGAGTCTTTCAGTTCAAATTGAATTTTGCTGCGCCAGAATTTAAAAAACAAGAAACACAACACATTCAACTAACGCAATAAAAGTTACTATGTAATTTTTTAGCTATAATATTTTATTTCTGTATTAAAAATTATTCATCGATTATCTTTTCACTTTTATTTCTTATTATTTTTGTAGCCTTGCATGAGCTTGTTCAATTCTATTTGTCTCTTGGGCAATTACACGCTTCCCCTTCATAACCCGCAAAAATTCAACGCAATGTTCATCCATTTATTTTTATCTCTTGTCGCAGTTCAGTCGTATTTACTTTAATAAATTCAAAAGTATTGGAACAGTAGCATATTTTCAAACTGTTTTATTATGTTAGTGCTTGACTATTATGTAATAAATATTGTGTAAACAATTTACCGTTTATGTTCGATTTTCCTAACAGTCTCAATAAAATAAAATTTTATTTTCAACGAAATGTCTTGTTTTCCCTTTAAAACCGAATTAATAAATATTTGACATTTAACAGAAAAACGGTCAAAATAATTTGGTTTGTCGACGTGCAAGACGCATTTCCCACTTACCACCCCAAATAAATTTCCACGTCTAATGGCCGTATTGAATAAACCAGCAGCTATAGGTAATTGTGATCGCGATAAATTTAAAACGTTGTATTTTACGAGACCGTCAATCGAGGTCATTAGATATAACGGTTTCGAAATCGAATCGCAAACGGGGAGGTGATTATCGGCCTGTTTTTGCCATCAGGCCCTTGAGACCGTCATGGCGTCGATCATATCGCGGGGATTCGTCGAAAATGTAAATCACACGGATGGAAATTGCACTCCTTAGCATCGTGATGTGCTCTCTGCATCGCCCTTTTTACGCTTTTTTAACGATGTTCAGTTTGCATCGCGAGCTGATTTTTTTATTATTGTTTTCCCGACGACGGTGGGATTTACACTTCTTTGTAATCTTATTTTATCTAGTTTTATTATTCGGATGGTGGAGAAAACGGAGCCTGGCGAAATATCGCACGTTATTCACATACGTTTTTTGGGATATTTGCACGAGATTTTGCTTTTATTTCAATCTTTAAGCGCGGGAATTTTCCCGAAACGTGTCGAGGCAATTTTCTGGGTGATAGCTACTACAAGTGCCGCAAATGAAGATGATAAAGAGGGAGATTGTGCAAAGGATATAAAAAGATTACACATCGATAAACTTATAAAAAGGATGAAGGAAATTCACTGAAATCAGGTGCCCAAAAGTCCTCACTAAAATTTCACTGTAAAACTGATAACAAATACAAATATTGTTCACACAGGAACGTTTATAAAGTAACATAATTTTCAGAAATAATACTAGAAATGAAATTATGACGAGTTTATTAAGTAGATATTTGAAACTTTTAGTAAAACCGCATAGTCTATAAGCGCATTGAAATCGTGAAAACTGAAATTTTATACTCATACATAAGCTGATAAAATAAAGTTAAGTCTTCGAGAACAAATATAAAACTTTGAATATATGCTTTCCTATTCTTTCATTTTCGGTGCACAATTTACATTTTCCTGAAAGTGCACTTTTGTAGCCTAATCTGCAAGCTCAGAACATGGATATTTTTTGCTCGTCCTTATCGAAATATTAGCCGCTTAATTAAGCCGCCTGCAGTGCATACGTCCCGAATTAATAACGCAATTAATAGAAAATAATTCGGGCGGGGAAAGCGAAACGACGCCCCGACGCCGCTCATAACAATCCTAATTAAATTTAAACGCGTAGGTGAAATAAAGTTAATTAGAACAACAGACGTAAGAAACGGGGGAGAACTTGTCGGTCATAATTTACATTTAATGACCTTTATTTACAACCGGACGTTTTTTATGAGTGCATCTCGGAAATAAAAATTTTGGTGGTCAAAACCGCCCTTGCGTTATTTTATTCAATTTTAATTGGGAGTTTAAATTTCGCGACACGTTTTGATTAAATTTGTTTAGGAGGAATTTACACGGATGTGCGGTGCGTTTTTTAATCATTAGAGATGCTCGAGGTATTTTTATGGAGGTGATTAATCCAATATTTGTGCTAAGTCGGCAGGAGATTTTTTGCGCTCTAGTCTACAATCCCTGTTTGAATTTTAACATGGGGATGAGATTTCAGAATTGCAGTAGACGCAAACGCGCTGTTTTACAACAATAAATCATGACAGATCGTCGCAACTCGCCTACAATTATTACAGTTTTATGGAAATGCAACCGCAACTCCGAACAATCGTCCCCTCAAAACTATTTAGTAATATCAAAATGCTTTCTCGTAATCCTATTATTATTCCGAGTGCAGTTTGGCTTTTTACATCTGCAACGTGGTCTCCACAGAATTAGTCCCAACATTGTTTAAAACAAAGCCGATTTCGTGTACAACCTGTACCAGGATTTAGATTAGATTTTTCACCTTGTGTGCGCCGAGGTATTAATGAGACAGGAAACGTGCCAAAAAGTCACGCGAAAGGATCGACTCCTTGTTCAAACTTTACATCATTTTTTTAAAACATTCAGAAAACTTCCAATTCGACTTAATTATCCCAAGTGGCAAAAAACGCTCGAGTAAAAGCTCCACTAACTCGAACCGATTTTTTGCCGCATCAGACAAAACTGCAATTTAGCCGATGCGCCGACATAAACCTTTATTAAACTTTGCTTACATTTTAATTTTATGATTTCATCAATCCGAGGCGTCTTTATTAATTTTATGTTCAATTAAAAGCGCTTCCTGCTCTTACTTCAGTTTTTCAGAGGCTTGATGCAAATCCGATTTGGCCTCAATCTACTCAATAGCACAGTTATATAACGGTTATATAAAAAATACAATATAACTGCTGGATTAAAAATATGACGCCTTTGTTAGCTCACTGTTGTATAACCAGGGTTAGGTGCAAAAGGAAATGTTGCATAACGAGTATACACGCCGGGTTAGATTTCGGTTATATAACCGCCCTAATATCTCGCTTACATTGTGGTTATATTTAGTTACCTCACCTTTATATAGGCAAAGTAATTTTCCGATTATATAATTTTCTTTAGGCATCATATTCCATAACAAATATAACCATTGTACATATTTCCGTTATAAAACAGTTGCTATATACGCCAAACATAACCATAGTTAGATAACCGATATATAACTATTATCATATATCCGTTATAAAACCATTGCTATATACTCCAAACATAACCATAGTTAGATAACCGATATATAAACTGAATTTAACATCTGTCATATTGCATAACATAGATAACAGTTAGATATCTGTTATATAACTAAGTACGCCAAATCTAACCGTAATTAGATAAACGTTATATAATCTGAATCTAACATAACCATGGTTAGGTTTGTATTTTGCGGTTATATAACCGCAACATAATTCTGTCAACCATTTGCTACTAAGAAAGCTTAGAGTTATTGAGCTTTCCAATTGCAGTTAGTTTAAATAAAATAATCTTAAAATAATGAACAAGTGCATGGTAAACAGGAAAGTGCATCAATCATGTTTTTTGTGAGACGAGATTAGGTCAAGATCCAAAATGGTGGATGCGCCGGGATAAGTGTCGTAAAACGTGATCAATAGCTCCAAAATAAACAAAATAGAAAAATAAATTAAAAAGATTATAAATTATAAAATGATCAGTTTTACTGCAA